TGTATTGTATAATCTTTGTGTTATTCGAATCTGGCCATCACATTTATCAATATTTTATTTTAGTCCTATTAATGCATGTTATGTCGTTTTTGTGGATATTTGATTTTGGTTCCAATGTTTGTAATAGTCTCATTTTAGTCACTAATTTCGTGTGTGTGTATTTTTGTGGATGTTCGAATTTGGCCATGATATTTATGTTTCTTTATTTTAGCCACTGTTTGGTATTTGGTATAATTACTGTTTGAATCTTTAAGTTTCTGTTTATTCTAAAATTGACCACTGATTTTGTTCTGTTTTATTGTAGCCATTGATTAATCTAGTTTCTTTATTTTATGTTTCTGATATTGTAGTTTCAATTTACACAGTTTAGTCACTTGTCTATAAAGCTTAGTTATTTTATTTTATTTTGCGTTATGGTTTGCCATGTTTGCATGTTTACATTTTAACCCATGTTATATTATTGTACTCATATTTTACTTTGGCCACAATGTTTGTATTAGTTTCATTTTAGTCATTGATTTTTATATGTTGTATGTTTTGGCTGATGTTCAAATTTGACCCTACGATTTGTAAATCTGTTCATTTTAGTCACTAGTTTGCATTCGGTTTAATTACTATTTTAGTCCCTACGTTTCTGTTTTTGCCATTTTAGTCTTTAATTTTATTTTTCTGTTTTAGCCCTTTAATTCGTTATTACCATGTTAGTCATTGTAATTATTAATACTTACTTTTTGACCATTATATTTTGGGTTGTAAATTCTTTTAATCCCCTATGAATGTACATTTTTCATGTTATGTATTTATTTGTACCATATGTAATTAAACATGCTTAATTCTATTTGTTGTAAATATTTATTTCACATATTTTTATTTCTATTTATTTCCATTTTTCTTTATTTTAATATTATCCAAATATTTTTAAGAACGCGTATGCGTAGAATGGGCGTGGAAAGTATCACTTGATCGAAGTGGTGTGATCCGGTACGGCATTTTAACGACATAGAAACTTGCAACAAGTCGAGTATATTTCACTAATTAATTTGTGCAAATGATGCAATGTGTGTTATTTTAAATAGTAATTCATTTTATTTTATGTAAATGTCAATTTCAAAATTTGCATTTGTATTCAATTCACATTTTAGTTAATCAATTTATTTTGTTGTATGCAAACGTCAATTTTATTTATATTCGATTCACATTTATCAAGAGAGAAATATTCTTTATGGATGAGAAATAGTCGAGTTAGCTTTCCCGATGGAGGATTGCTAATTTCGAGATTTCTTTTCGAGTTAAAGAATTTTCTCTAATTATTTAATTCGAAGCAAATTAATCAACGTTCGATAAATAGATCATATTTTAACCTTATATTTGATTTATAATTTCCACCATTTACAATGATGTGTAAGCGACACAGTACCAATTTTGGGCGTTGTGGGGGTGTTTACCCTTCCCTGCACGTAACCGACTCCCGAATCCATTTAAAATGAATCTTTGGTAACGCAGACCGAATCTTGTCTTAAAAAAAAATGATTTTTTCTTAAAATTGTTTTAAAAGACGTTTTTAGGTATTCGACCTACCTAACCCAAAGGTTGATGGCGACTCTTTTTAATTTTATTCAAATCAATTCAAAATCACCCAATCTTTCCAAATTAAAGTAATAATCGTTTTTTTAATAATATTTAATTGTTTTTTCCTAAAAATGGTTATGACTTATAATGAATATTTTATCTTTTCAACCTTTTCTTTAACAATAATCTTAAACAGTTAAATTTTAAATTACACTTTTAAACAACACTTTTAAAAGTTTTTTATACAACACTTTAAAAAGTAACTTTTCGAAAGTCTTGCTAAAATAACCTTAATTAGATGAAACTTGCGTAGTTTATTTTTGCACCAAATGAAAGAATTCAAACTCATATATTAAGATTTATTTAGGAATTTTTATAGGTCAGGACGTATTGGGTTTATAGTACATTTGAACTTGATCAGAGTATAACACTCAAATTTACAGAAGGTCTACTCGACCTGATTTTAGAGTAAAAATTCACATCCCACCTAATATAAATAAATTTATAAAAAAATATTTTTATCAGGTAAAATAGAGACTTGATTGAAAAAATATAAAGAGAATGATGTTATAACAATCTTACTCAAATATATATAAAAAAATTATACTACTAATTCGGAATCGAATCGAATTGAATATTTTTCATCAATACATATGAATATAATTGATAAAACTTAAATTTTTGAAAGATTAATCCTATCAAATTTAATCGAGTCAAAACCAATCGAATTTAGATCGAATTTTTATCCCTGTGCTTAGAGAGATTTTGAGGACAAGACGATGCCACCAAGTTAATTCCTGTGTTTAGCATGACCAAAGTCCAGGAGCAGTCGGAATCCGAACAAATGTTTCAAACACTTTTCCAGGAAACTTCTGCTGGTAATAAAGTCTTCATATATATTTGAACTGGTTTGGCCCACACCTTTGCTGTAGTTTATTCCTCACGAATCACCCGTTGATCGATTCTGATGGATCGAACGGGAGTGTATAGAGACAATTATGTTATTAAAATTTTTAAATAGTGTATATTTTTTATATTTTTAATTTATAAATTAATTTTATTCCTTACAATTTTATAAATTCGCATTCTTTTAGAATTTTACAAATTTAATCTCGTAATATAAGATTTTTGCGTCCGTTTTTGACTGTTCATTTTATTAGCTGTGGATCCACTCATTATTTAGGATAAGCATTTTGAAATTTGAATTTTTTTCAGTTAATTATTTATTTGATTAATTATACTCATATTAAAATTTTATTTGTTTTATTATGTATATAAAATTATATTATTAATATATATATTCATCCTAAAAAATATTTCTAAATTCACTACTACATTTTGTTCCAATAGTTTAAAAATCCTATAGTTAATTGCAACATAAATTTAAGGGTAAAATATACAAATGATCGTCTGACTATAGGACACTGTTTTATTGAGTCCCTACTATTAAAAATTACAAAATGATAGTCCAATTATTTATATGTTTCAAACTCATTTTTCGTTAAAAAAATGATGATCGTTTGAGTTTGATGTCGATATGTTGATTATGATATGATAAAATCATATTTTAATGATGTCTACTAACACTAATGTTGTTTTTAAATAGGGATGGAAAAGAGTTGGATTGGGTCGGTTTTTGGTCAGTCTTGACCCAAAAATATGTATTCTCCATCCGAATATGACTTGACTCGAAAATTATATATCTTCCACCGACCTAACCCAAAAAATATATATCCTACATCGAATCTGATCCAACCCGAATTTTTAAAGTATAAATCTGACCCGATCAACCAGACCCAACGTTACTCTTTTAAGAAAATTCGATCCAACTAGAACCCAAATTATTTTAAAAAAACCCGGCCTTATCAGATTAGGTCAGGTCAGAACCATCTATTTCGAGTTAAATTATCATCCTTACTTTCAAGCATGGGCTCGATAACATAATATTTCAAACAATGGGTCGACAATATAATATAAATAGAGGCTCAATCCATAAAGTACAACTTAAACAATTATGATATCATATTTTTATCATATCACAATGAGTATGTTAATATTCAACTTAGACGATTATAAAAGTTTTAACAAAAAAGGACAGGTTCGGAACATATAAATAGCCATGTAACTATTTTATAATTTTTAATAGTCAATAGACTTAATAAAATAATATTCTATATTCGAAGGACCATTTATGTATTTTACCTTAAATTTAAATATTTGAGTAATGATCCTATTATCAGTGACGAAATTATTGCGACGCGACGAGAAACATTGATTATTTCATTAATTAATCTGCGACTTACAACATTTCTTCACATTTTCTCGGAGTGATTTGTGATCTAATGTTTATTAATTTTATCATGCGATTCTTTCTAATTATATTATAATAATTTAAATATAAAAATATCTAAAATAATTATGGAGAATAACTAAAATATATGATAATGCCACGTTACATTTTGGCTTTAAAACGATCGCCTAGTCGGCCTCCATCCACGTCAGAACACTGTGGGCCACCACCTTACAAAAAGTTAATGGGTAAAATACTCATGATATCGACAAAGATGTTAGTTTTTTGAGTTTTTTTATTATAAAAATTTTAAAATAATTTAATGTTGTTGTTTGTTAACTCATCGACTATTAAAAATTACAAGATGATCACTCGATTATTCATATTTTAAACTTGTCATTTTTGTTAAAAATTTCACGATTTTAACATATAATTGTGATATGATAAAATTTGATCTCAAAATTATTTAACTTGTATTTTATGGATCGACACTTTGTTTATATTATGTCATCGAGTCATTGTCGAAACATTATATTGTCGGATGCTTAAGAGCAACGAAGACACCAATAGACATCATTAGGTTATAATTTTATTTTATCTCAATTAGTATTAACATCCAACATAGAAGGCCGTTAATTTTTAATAAAAAAATAATGAATTTAAAACATATGAATAATTAAATGATATTTTTTAACTTTTAATAATTGAAATATCAAATAAAATAATATCTTATATTCAAAAAAACTATTCTAAACTTTTAATAATAAATAGACTCAACCACGTATCTCGCTATAATTGGGGACCACTGATGTCTTATGCCCAAAGTTAAAAATCTCTACATTCGCGTTTGCATTCACTCCAAACCCAAATCAAACGATCCATTTCAACGGCCTTTCCCTTTACACGTGTCCATACTTTTAATCGCAACCGTAAATACCAGCTCACCTGGTCGGTCATTTGGTCAGTTACAAAATCTTTAACAATCGTTGGATCAGAAAGCAGACTCCATCTAACGATCAAATATTTGCCCGAAACTCTATCGGGCAGATCTCTTCACCTTTAAGAATCGAGCGCAGGCACTCTCTTGTTTATTGCTCATACTAGGATTCCAAACCCTAGTTCCTGATGTATAAATTATTCGCCAATTGCTCGTTTTAAATTCTCGATTCACATTGGTTTGGGCGGCGCGTGGTGGCCGTTCAGGTAGCTCGTGAAAGGAACGATTTACCGTTTCATGGTTTGAATTTGCCATTCCGAATTGGGAAACCCTCGTCATTGCTCTTCCGGCTCCTGATTATTTTAATGGCATCGGCCGTTTTGGCGAACCAAAGTGAGTCGAATTGGTCACCGCAGCCGAGAAGCAGTGTAGCTAAATTCATGGGCAAAGTTCCTTACCCAGCAACAAAGCGTAAACACAACCCTAAATTGAAAAAGAAACGTCAATTCAACAAGCAATTGCCGCCGTGTGATGATGATGCTGGCCATGTCGTCGATGATTTCCTGGCCGTAGCCCGACCGGCGGCTTCTGATGCTGCGTCGTCGATTGATCGGAAACAGAACCAGTTTAGCTCCAGCGCTATTGTAAGCTTCTGCGTCAGCACTTATTCGAGGAATGAGTTGATTGATCTGAAGAGCCAGTTGATTGTCGAGCTGGATCGGGTTCGTGAGTTGAAGAATCGAGTCAATTCGAACGATTTTCAGTTGAGATCCAGCTCAAAACCCTTACCTCAAAAAGGAATTTCCGGTGACAAACGTCCTTTGCCCCCTAATTCCATCAAAGAATTGAAGAGACTGAACACACAAGAGAATGGAAAAGCACCACAAGCTCATTTGATGAAAATTTGTTCCCAAATACTGAACAAATTGATGAAACATAAGTATGGCCATGTCTTCAATTCTCCGGTTTATGTCATTGGGTTGGGGCTTCATGATTACTACAGTGTAATTAAGAACCCAATGGATCTGGGCACTATTAGGACGAGACTAGCGAAGAAATTCTATGGGTCACCGTTGGATTTCGCAGCTGATTTAAGGTTAGCTTTCAATAACGCCATGTTATACAATCCTAAAGGGCTTGAAATAAATGCGTTGGCTGAACAGTTGCTTGCAAGATTCGAGAAGTTGTTTCAGCCGCTGAGTTATAAGCTGGAGTACGAAGAGCCATTGGAAAGAGGTTATTTTGAAGAAGAGTTGCTGGCTAGTTCTTGGGATCATGGCGATGATAGGTTGAAGAAAGATAGAGAAAGAAATGGGGAGAAAAATACTGTTGAAAGTGATTGTTTAATTAATATGTCAGCAAGACCCGGTAAAGATGGCGCCGGTTCACGCTTTGTTTCAAACCCAAATGTTCCACCGCTTCCGCTTCAGTTGCCCTAACCGGCAAGGGTGGCGAGGGTTGGTTCGCCGATTCGGGTACCGAAGCAGCCAAAGCCAAAGGCTAAGGATCCGAGCAAGAGGGAAATGACTATGGAGGAGAAGCATAGGCTGGGAATGGGATTGCAGAGCTTGCCGCAAGAGAAGATGGATAATGTGGTTCAGATTATAAGGAAAAGGAATGGGCATTTGAGCCAGGATGGGGATGAGATTGAACTTGATATCGAAGCAATGGATACTGAAACACTGTGGGAGTTGGATCGATTCGTCACTAATTACAAGAAGATGGCCAGCAAGATAAGGCGGCAAGCATTGTTGGCGAACAATGTGGTGTCTAATGGCACCGATAGGGTAAGCACATATTTGGTTGCTTGATGAATGGTTGATAATTTGTTTACTTCATTGCATTAATGTTTGGATATTATGTTTTTTTTTGACCCAAAAATGGTGGAATGTTTTTTTTTCTGACCCAAAAATGGTGGAAAATACAGGGGGAGATAACTATGAAGAAAATTGAAGCTCCAGTGGAGATGAAGAAACCCAAGAAAGCGGATGCTGGCGAGGAAGATGTAGATATTGGGGATGAAATGCCAATGAGTAGTTTCCCACCCGTCGAGATTGAGAAGGACAACGATGTGCTAGTAGCAGTTCTAGTGACCCCAGCAGCTCGAGCAGTGGTTCATCATCTTCAAGTGGTATTACTCAACCCTCTTTCGAATTTCAGAATGATGGTTTCTGAAAAAAATAACAACCAAAAGAACTGCGGGAAGAAATTCTTATCTAGATAGGTTATCATTTGCAGATTCGGATTCTGGGTCTTCTTCAGGAAGTGATTACGATGCAGATGACAGACAGTCTTAAAAGCTCGGATTGAAGGATTGGTTATTCATTTCCGAAGCTTGTGAGGTGTGGTTCTGGGAAATCCGGTGCTTGAGATGGGGTTGGAACCCTGGTACTCAATTTTTTCTCCGAGGCATCTACCATCCTATCTTTTGTTTATTGGTTGGTGGCATGTATGCGTGGTATATGGAAACAGACTGGAATGCCGGCGTTAGCCTCTTTGGGGTCATACGTTGAGAGGCGGCAACAGCGTTGGCTTGAGAACATCACATATATTGGAGCAACCACCTAATAAAGCAAAAGTGCGATCCCAATGCATGTGCTCGGTTCCGGGTTAACCATTGCCGTGTCTGGAGAAGGTTAGCATCTCTTGTTATCGGCCTTTGCTTAAGAGACAAGTTGATGAAAATTGACTGCCAGTTTGGGATTTGGAAGCCCTATTCGAAGTGATGATTCAGATATATGATATATGCAGAACTTAGTTTTTGTTGCATATGCAAAGTTTCTTAATGTACGAATGAGAAAACACGTTTGAAAACAAGATGGAATCACTTCCCCCAAGTATTGGGTGGAACTACCGTTTATTATCAGTGATATTTTATGTCGTATAAAACAAACAAAAAACGGGTGGAGATTCTACAGTGCTGGAATTAGCCAGAAATGATGTTGTGGGGACCCAGTTGCTGGAACCACGAAGCTTCAACCCAACACACTTCAAACACATACCCACGATTCACTTGCAGATATATATTTGTTTAATGGATAAACTCGGAAACAACAGTGAACCCACTAGCCTACATTCACTTCATTTATATACAAAACTGCTTTATCGCCATATGCAAAAGGATCTGCATCGTTCGAAGAATAAGGGGAAACAACTAAGCGAATCATTGCCTAATCACTCACTTTTTCACCTCCTCGTACTCTGCCTCTTACGCCTGCTCACCACGTTGAGCATCTCCGGAAGAACCACCTTGGGCACCACAAGAACCACCAGACGTGTTCCCCCGATCTTTGAGACTGCCTTGTTTGCTGCGTCGATTTTGGCCTTAATATCCTCCACATTCTCTCCTTCCATTTCCTTCCTCAAATTGGCGACAGCATCACAACAACCTCTATTGCTTTTCCTACTTCACTAGGAACTTTGTCAGTGTACTCGTTCAAGCTTTCTCCACACTATAGATGGTAGTGTCTGCAATGTTTTTTATATCGATCAAAGCTTTTCTTTGTTGGTCCTTCTGAGCATGCAACTTGGAGGAGGCGACCGGATGGTAATCTGCTGTTCTTTCCCGGTGGCCTTATCCTTGGCAGAGACGGTCACAATACCATTGGCTTCAATGTCAAAAGTCACTTCAATATGTGGCATGCCACTAGGAGCAGGTGGAATGCCAACCAAGTCGAACTCACCCAACATCTTATTGTCGGCAGCCGTTTAACGCTCAACTTGAAGTACCTTTGTGCCTACTTGAGTCTGGTTATCAGCTGCAGTGGAGAACACCTGAAAAAAAAGGAACCCCATCAAATACGGGAAAAAAAAGATAACATTTGTACACAATAAATCTGGAAGCAATTAGACTGTGGTTGCACAAAAAACAGCAAACTACTTATCATGTCTCAAGGACTAATACATATAAATGTCTAAGAAAAATGCAGACAATTGCACAGAAGACAAACCTGACTTCTCTTGGTGGGAATGGTTGTGTTCCGGTTGATTAGCCTTGTGAATATACCGCCAAGTGTCTCAATACCAAATGAAAGAGTGACATCAAGCAGAAGCAACTCTTTAACATCACCTCGAAGTAGGTCACCCTCAATTGCAGCTCCCATAGCAACTGCCTCATCAGGATTGACACCTTTGCTCGGACTCCTCCCAATGATGCCTGACACAACTTCTTGAACTTTTGAAACACGAGTCATCCCTCCAACAGAACCTCATCAATATATCCTTCGTAGAAATGCCAGCATCCTTCAAAAAATTCTTACATGGAGCCCTAGTCCTCTCAATCAAGTGATTTACCAAAGACTCGAACTTTGATCTGGTCAATGTTATATTCAAGTGTTTTGCCCCAGATGCATCAGCTGTTATAAATGGCAGGTTAATTTCAGTCTGTGATGCAGATGAGAGTTAAATTTTAGCATTCTCAGCCGCTTCCCGAAGCCTCTGGAGAGCAAGTCTATCCTTTGAAAGATCAATTCCCTCAGTTTTCTTGAATTCGCTCACCAAGAAATCCAGCAAGGCATTGTCGAAGTCTTCACCTCCCAAGAAAGTATCACCATTTGTTGCTTTGACCTGGATAAGTGATATATTAATATAATTAGCCTAAGCATACCAAAAACAAACCCTCTTAGAATAGAAAAATATGCGTACCTCAAAGACGCCATTAGAGATCTCCAAAATTGAAATATCAATTTATCCAAAAAAAAATTGAAATATCAAATGTTCCACCACCAAGATCTACGATTGCAATGAGACCCTTCTTGTTGATCATTCCATATGAAAGGACAGATGCGGTAGGCTCATTGATTATTCTCTGAACATCAAGACCTGCAATTCTACCAGCATCCTTAGTTGCTCATCTCTGAGCATCATTGAATTAAGCTGGAACAGTGATAACAGCATTAGAAACACTCTTTCCCAGGTAAGCCTCGGCAGTTTCCTTCATCTTGGTCAAAATAAATGCCCCAACTTGACTAGGAGAATATTGCTGCCCATTTGCTTCGACCCAGGCATCTCCATTGGGAGCCTTCACAATCTTGACAGGAACCATTCCTATTTCTTTTGCTGTCTGGGGATCATCAATCGTCTACCAATCAGACGCTTGGTACCAAATAGTGTATTAGTTGGATTGGTCACTGCCTGTCGTTTTGCAGGGGTGTCAACAAGTAACTCTCCCTTTTGGTTGAAGGCAATAACAGACGGTGTGGTCCTTGCACATTCGGAGTTCTCAATAACCTTGGGATTCTGAATACAATAACAGACTCAAGCAGATATAATCACAGAATGACTTCACTGTCCAAAGCTAACAACGAAATCATTAAGCCTATCAGTCACAAGAAAGTTACACTGAGCAAATCACAAATTTACTACAAATAAACAATAATGAAAATATATCAAATCAACCTTACCTGAAAGCTCTCGAAAAACATCTCCAATTAATTCCTACTGAGGACTTGCCATTGCTAGTAAGCTGCACAACAACAAATTAAGCATAGGCATCATCTCATTCCATTTCATTCAGATGGGAATCCTATTCTTGTACTGAACAAACAAACTGCAATAATCATTCACAGAATAGCTGAATCTCACGCATAATCGTCTTTGACTCTAGTTGGAGAACTAAGCTCACGTTATAAGAGACAATCCAGAAATCAAAACACGTCCACTTAAAACTACTAGGCAAAAATGGTTATTTTTAGTATCCTTCATATCTTATCATAAGATACAACAACTAAAAATATCAGGCTAAATTCCCTCTTCCCTCGACTTTACCGAAAGCCAAACAGAATATATAACACCAGGTAATACAGATGAATCAAACAAATCACCTAAACCGAACATGAAAAGTTCCAAAGCGAACAGAAAAGGATTAGAAACTTACGCATCAATAAGCGGAGAGAGGCTTAGAGACGGCATCACGGCGTCGAAATGAACGGATCAAAGCTGCCGTAGCCATGGCTATAACTAAGCTAGAGCCGGGGAGGATCTATTCTACGTTCTTCGTGAAACTGATATTGAAATGCGAGGAGAAAGACGTTTCTAGGGTTTAGGGTTTTGTATCGAAAAGATTTTAAGAAATATGCCGTATTTTAAGATTTTTTCCTGGTAAGTTATGGAATGTTCTAGACTAACACCACAGCATTCATTTCAAATTTTCTTAAACTACATTATTAATTACTTAATTATAAAAATTGTAATATAATTATTTTATCTTTTAATTTTATCTATTAAGTTATTTAATTATGGATAAAGTATATCAATGATCCCCTACTACAGGGCGATGTTTTGTTAAGTTATATAACTATTAAAAGTTATAAAATGATCTTTTAATTATAAGATAATATTTTGTTAAGTCTTCAATTATTAAAAATTATAAGATAGTCACTCAATTATTCATATATTTCAAACTTAAAACTTTTATTAAAAAATTAACGATAATTTAAGTTGAATGTTTACTCGCTCATTAGCGGGTAGTAAATGTGGAAATTTATTGTTAGTTGTCATAGTCGTAATCATAGGTAACTTCTATTTTCTTCTTAGCTTCATTACTACGGTAAGTCAAGAGTCTTCCTAATATATATTAAGTTAATTTTATATTTATTGTATTATTTTTAAGCAATTATATTATGTAGATATTTGGTTTTAAAATATGTTTTGGAAAATACTTTCCTTTGTTCATCTATTTTCAGTGAATTCTTTTAATTATCTTGGATCAAACAAAGGGAATTTACATCACATAACTCTGATAATATTTTAAAATAAAATTATTTTTGTTTAATAATAAAAAAAATCCATGTTCAAGTGAAGGGAGGGGTCGAGATGAGAAGATATATCAATAAAAGTTTAACTTCAAATGCGTAATGTTGAAATTTGCATAATAAGTATTCCCATTGTATTGCAAACATTAACTTGAGCATCTTGTGATCGCAGATTAGTTGCCATTTGACAAATTTACCGATGATCAGTTCATTAACTTTTTGTTTGATAGGTTTAGCTTTGTTCCCTCCTATGTGTGCGCAATCCGCACCATCAGCTAACAATTTGATGTAAGGCACTTGTATCTTAACAAATTGATTGTGGATCTAGGAAGGAAGCAAACAACCTGCACAAGTGAATGGCTCAAAAAGAGATGGTTAAGGGTGTTAAACGTATGGGTGAATAGGTGGGTTGTTTAAATGAGAGATGGAAGTGGAAGATGATTGAAATGGCTATGGGTTATGGCTATGAAACAAAGGGATGGTAGTGAGGATAATATCTTGAAGAAGTCTCAAAGAAGAACCAGTGCTATAGAGAGCAAAGACTCAAACTTTATATTGCTTCTTCAAGGGGTGGTGTTAAGGACTTTGACCCACTAGTTATAAGAACTAGGAACCAGAAGTATCAAGGTGAAAAGAAAAGGGGTTGACGCCACAAGTATAAAATAATACTTGATAAGTCGATAAAAGTCACCAGGACTTAAGGAAGAGAATAATCTCACTTATATTAATCAAAATGGTCTGATTACAAATGAAATATGCTTTCCTATTTATAGGAAATAGAGAGGCATGGCCGAATGGTTACAAGGGGATTCAACCAGCCTTGTACCTTCCTATAGTGACATAATTAATTACAAAATAGAGATGATATTTCAGTTTAAATGGAGGGTGATAACCCTTGGCCGAATAGCTATACTGTCCCTTCATGTTGGCGCCAAATTGGATGGGAGATGATGCATGGCCGAATAGAGAGAAGGCTCTTTATCTTGGCGCCTAAATGAGTCCACATGCAAGGCAC